AAAGCTTCTTCCAATATGAAAAATAATGTTGATTCGTGATCTTCGAAAAACAAACATGAAGAACAATTCTATCCATCTACCCATCTTCCTAAATCTTTTTCGATTGAGAATTTTACACTACTAACACAATCGTTAGAACTTCGAATTTTGTTTTATCGGAATTAACGAAAATTGTGAAAACTAAAATCGTACAAAATTTCTCCCCTCCCAAAAAATGCAAATATTTGGAGGAACGATCGTTCGAGCTTTGCTGGTTTATTAACAATAATTTGTATTATCATCATGTTTCAACGAGATGATGTTAATAATATTCATCTAACACTGTGTCTATCATTTCATGATGAAACTGATTTGATGATAACTTTCAAACAAGAGCCATTGCGTTCAATTGGACTTGACAATGCCAGTAGAACGACGATCTATGATGAAACATGTGAAATACACACTGTATCTATGCATTTATGATACGTGTATATGTATATATATATATATATATATATATTGACTATATTTCATACACATATGCACGTAATCATCCATTCTATCGACATATACTAACTCACAAGCATGCATACTCGCTTACCAACAATAGAACATATATCGTATATATACATATATATACAAACGCAATCGTATATGTGTATTATATATTACCGGAGAATACGCAAGTTGGTGGATACGAGGAACGTTAACCACGTGCGCCAAGTTAGATTGGGGGGCAGCTGCTTATCGTCCAGATTCAAATGATATATCGTTGCCGATAGATATACGAACAGAAAGCCATAAATTATAATATCCTAATTTTCGTCGGACCGATTACATCCAACACCGAATCCATATAATCAACAACAACTCGATTACTATACATCAAAGATCTTTTTATCTTTCTCGAACAGACAACTATCTCAATAAAATCTATTATACAATAATTAAAGATTGTTCATTAGAAAGCTTATTAAATAATAGTAGAAAATATTCCTTCCTCTTCAATTTGTTAACGAGCCATTATAAAAAGCGGCAAATTTTTATTCTCCTTCAGAATCCCATCCCTCCTTACTTTATTTATTTTCTTTCTTTTCATTATTTAATTTCTCTCAAACCATGGATCAACGTTTATCGAAGAATTTATAATCAAATTGTAATCAAATTAATATCATTTAAATATTTTACAAATTCCGTTAGAATATTTTTTAATACAAATACGAATAATTTCATTTCAACACGACAGAGATGTGATATCTAATCCTTCGTATAACATGGGTACACGTATGCAAATATTATAATGAGATGTCGGAATTATTCATATACCCGATATCGTACGAGTATCATGTAAAATATAATCATTAAATCTTTTCATAAATTAATAACTAATTGAAACACGTTACGTCAACTTCTTATCGATCACAGGGATCTTTTTGAATACATTCAACATTCTATTTAAAATATAAGACACTAATGAAACTTTATCTCTATATAAAGATACTTAAAAAGTAAAAAGTATTATACAGGTAACTGACAGAACGATCTTATATCGTTTTTCTTATGAATGAATAATTTCAGTGTGAGAAGTGGCACTACGTTAGGATTAGAATTTTCAGAAAAAAAAGAAAGAAAGAGAGAGAGAGAAAGAAAGAAAGAAAAAGAGGAGGAAAAGAAGAGAGAAGATCATGATAGCTTCATATTCATAGTGCCATAAAGAGGAAGGGAAAAAGAGTGACCTAGAGAAGGAGAAAAGTGTGGACATAGGAAGGAAGTGCGGAAAGGGCATCGCGCAGAAACGTGGCATCCTTTCACAAACTTCCATTACCTGATTGCCTTCATGTGAAGAAAAATATTAGCGATAAAACAGGCACATTGTACGGGGCAATACACATAAAGCAGTTCGGAAAGAGTACATCGAGAGAGAGAGAGAGAAAGAAAGAGAGAGAGGTTGAAGCTCTTTTAGCATATGATTTTTCGATGAATCACACGGACTACGAACAAAGAGATTCATTACCCGTAAAGTCAATAGTAACGCGAGCTAAGGTTTCAGGTTCGTATTGTCCATTGTTGAAGGAGAACGATAAAACGGACGTTTAAGGAAGAAGAAAGGGATAAATCGTTGGAGACGTTCTCCTTAACGTCACGCTTTGACGCCTCCCTCTTTTTATGGTAGGACAATAAGGGCAAAGAAGTAGTACTATATAGAGGTATATAAAAACGCGCAAGATCGATAATGCAAGGTAGGGAGAAAAAGAAAGAGAGAAAGAGAAAGAGAGAGAGAGAGAGAAGTGGGTAAAAAAGATAGGTTGTTGCAATCGATTATAGCGCGTAAAAGCCATTAACTCCGCTAAAGAGAACGAACCGGCCACATGGGTGTTCGATATAACGGTAAACGAGTTTTATAATTTCATAAGCATACTTTTTTTAATGAAAAAAAAGAAAAACAGAAATAGAGGAAGGGAGAAAAAGAGAGGAAAGAAGAAAAAAGATAATAAATAAACATTTAGACCACCGTCTAATATTCTCTTTATATTGCGAATAAAAAAGATAGGGGTAGAGAAAAATGATTTATCGTTGAATACGATCAAGGAGATTACTTACGATAATCGTCGTTCATGAAAGTAGTAAATTAGGTCGTATTATCTACGAAAGAGGAAAATTAGAGAAAGAGAGAGAAAATCGTTAAATAAAGAACGAGATTTCGATGCCGTACTCTATTTCATGGTATAACATTTTTTTTTTTAAAATAAATACTTTTACCGGATAAACGTTCTTAAAACGTTAATAATTATACTTCAAATAGATAACAAGAGTACGAATAATTTGGAATTTTCTAAAATGCGTCAAGACATTTAATTATATTCTAGTTGAGACGGATCTTTCCCATTATTCCAAACTTTTCGTATTATTCGAAGAATGCTGATTCGTATCTTCTAAAAAAAAAATAAAAAGAAAAAAAAGATGAAAAGATGAGAGAGAGAGAGAGAGAGAAAGGGAAAAGAATTAGACAAGCAAAGTTTCGTGATAGTACAAGAAACCGCATTACGATCACAAATTTTCATCAAACTTTCTTCTATGCTAGTCGCATCTAGAGCATTCATTCTTTCTTACAAATTCTCTCTCCCTTCCCCCTTCTTCTTTTTTAACCGATACTATTCGGCGCTATTCTTACGAAAAGTTTTCTCGTTCTAACGGTAATCCTTCCCAAAGCTATAGTTTTTTTTTATTTTATTTTTTTTTTTGTTCATTTCTCTCGCGTCTATATCGCAATTTTTCCTCAATTTTTCTCCACCACATCCCCATCATTCCCCCATCTACCGTTGTCGCATACCTTTCACACACAATTCGTATACACATATATATATTTGTGTTTTATATTATATATATATACGCGAAAATAAAAACAGATTCCATTTCGTAGGATGATGTGTACACATTCGTGCGTTTTTTTTTATGGCACTTTAATTCTATTATGCAAATCTTTTCTATCCTATTTCGGTAAAAAGAAGGACAAATAAAACACGTACCCATGCACACCCACCACATACGTATAGCAACACTTCACGCACGCTGCGACACGACCAGATTTCCATATTCAGACTAGTTTTCATCATAAAAAATTTCACGCTTTCTCGCTTTCGTTTCTAATAATGAAAACAAAATTAAAAAAATAGAAAAATAGAGAAAGAGAGAGAGGGTGAAAAAATATAATAGGACACATGACGCAAACGTTTCTACGGATAGATTTACCTTTTCAATTTCTATCTCATACGATCCCTACGTTTTCACCCGATATCCATCCATCCATCCATCACGAAATCTAATTTTCACGGTGACGAGGACGAGCCAACGATGCTACGAGATGGACGTTTCAGTTTGCAAATTTGATAAAGAACGTACGAACGAATCAACGATCGGACAAAGTCCAAGCTTTTGGTGGAGAAAAAGAAAAAAAAAAAAGAAAGAAAAGGACCATCGACAAAAGATAAAGAGAACGGTCGTCTCAGATCGAAGGTATCGCACGATGGTTCCTCGTTAATTGGATGTCAAGGGAAACTTAATTAGAAACTCCCTGATGTTTACATGCTCGCATCAAACCTTCGCTCGTTATTAGTCGACAACCTAGGAAAGGCTCGTTGTTCGTTAACCCATACATAATTTCATGCCTTTATATCTAATTGATGTTATCCTAGTATACCACTTTGTTTACTTTAAATACGTCCAAATGCACAGCGCACGTCAATCATCCCGAAATATTAAATGATCGTAGAAATTATTCATTGGTAAATAATGTTTTTTTATATAATAGATTAAGAATAGATATATGTATATATATATGTTAAAATATTAACAATTATTTTTCCTCTTCTTTCTTCACTTATCTCTAATTCAATATTGATTAATCCTGATTAAGAAAATTCTCTATCCGTGTTATTCAATATAATTTAAAAATTATTCAACACCTATAGATGGTCTCTTTTCTATCTCTCTTACTTTCGACAATTTAAACTCATTTCGCGCATCACCGCGCTCGTCTCCATTCCCATACCTTCCACTTACGATAATTATTCCGAACATTTCTCAATTGCTTTTCTATCATCGATTCAACTCGAGAAGAAAAAAAAAAATAGAATCGAAAATGCCATCTAATAAGAAATATTAAATGATCGTATTTCTCAATGCATTCGTTTATTTCGATAAGAAAAAAGAATTAGAGACAAAAAAAAGAAATAGAAAAAAGTCATCCGACGACTGATTGAGAATTATTATTTACAATTAAGATAAGAGAAAAATCGTATTTAAATGAATTCGTTTATTTCGATAAGAAAAAAAATAATTAGAGAACAATAACACAAAAAATAGAAAAAATCATCCGACACACGACTGTGGTTGAATTATTATTTATAATTATAAGATAAAGGGAAAAGAGAATTGAACAATAATTAATTATTACAAAATCGATCATCAACGAGAGGGAATGAATTTAAAAAAGGAAAATAATTGAATTTTGTACTCACCAACGCAGAGAACGAGGGTTGCGATGAGAATCGGCGGGAAGATCCTCGAAGACGAAGACATAGTTGTTGTTCCTGTGATCTGCTTTCGTAAGAGAAAGAGAGAGAAAGAAAGAGAGAGAGAGAGAGGGCAAGAAAGAGAAAGAACGTGTGCGTGTGTGTATGTAAGTGAATAAAATAAATAGAGAGAGACCACTAACAGGAAGAATCCTTGCGAGCACGACAAAAATTAGCCTTCTCTTTTTGTTTTCTTCGCGGAAGACGTCCAAAGGGGGTTGGTTGTCGTCAGAGGTTTCCTTCTTCTTAATCTTTTTTTTCTTCCTTATTTAAATTTTCATCTCACTCAGGAATGGTCATTTATCGAGGATCTCTCCACCAACAAGGACAAAAATTCACCGTTCGTAATAAACGTGATGATACGCGCGTTTTAAAAGAGAAGTATATATATATATATATATTTATGAGGAAAACTAGGAAGGCACTGCTGGATCTTGCACGCGACAGAGGTGAATAAATACTGAACGGTACTTTGATCGTTCTTCTCCTTTTATAACTATTTAGATGATTCCTCTAGTCTCTCTCGGAAAGAAAAACAAGTTTTATTTATTTTTCCTTTTCTTCTCCACCTTTCCCACTTCTTCTTCTTCTTCTTCTTTCCTCTTCTTATTTATATTTTACTCTCTTCCTTAATTTTTTCTTCTTTCTTCTTTATTTCCAAATACGTATTATATGATAAAGTGTCTCTCTTTTCGGTTTTCTGTCAAGCTATAACTATCTCAATCGTGATTTTCTAGAAAAGTGCGACAGAACGATAAAGAAAAAGAAATCAACGTTAACTTAAATGATAAACGGACAGAAAAATATAAAGAGAAAGATAGAAAGAGAGAGAGAGAGAGAGAGAAACAATTAGATCGAGATCTCTCGATCGATTCTCTCCTATTGGAAAATTTTCTTTCCAAAAACGCGCACCTTGTTGATGATGACAGTTTTTAAGAAGAAGAGAAAGAAATATATATAAATATATATATATAAACAGAGAAAGATATAGAGAGTGATAAAGCGCGTAAAATCGAAAGAAAGAAAGAGAAAGAGATAGAGGTAGATAGAGAAAGAGAGTGAGAGAGAAAGAAAGAGCGATGACAAGAGAAACGGGGGAAAGGTGTTTCTCTTTCTGTAGTTATTTTTTCCTCCTATTTTTGTATTATTTGTTTTCAACTCTTTTTTTTTTTTTTTATCTTCGGAGCTCTTTTTTTCTTCTTGTTGTTGTTTAATATATATATAAATGTATATATTATATATACATATACACGTATCATAAATGCATAGATACAGTGTGTATTTCACATGTTTCATCATAGATCGTCGTTCTACTGGCATTGTCAAGTCCNTTAGTATCTCTCTCTCTATATATATATATATATATATTATATATAAAAATATATAATTAGTACATATATATGTATATATATATAGAGGTATATATAATAGAAAGCCGTGCACACAGAGAGTCCTCTCGAGCGTATACGTCGTCCGATGCGGCGCCGCCGTCGAACTGACTTTGCACGTTACGGTGCTGCGGCAGTAGCGACGTGACGCGCCTCTCCTCTTCGTCGCTCCTCCTCTTCCTCCTCCTCTTCTTCCTCCACCTCTTCCTCTACTTCTTCCTCCTCTTCCTCCTTCCCCACCTCTCTACTCCTATCCGCGGCGTCGCGCGCGCGATCCTTCCTTCCCTTCAACCCTTTCCGTACATGCGCGACCAACTTGGATATACACCTTATATATATATATATATGATCGAATAGTCACCCTTTCAATTTGCTTGGACATCAGCATCCCATTTCAAAGAATTTTCTTTTATTTTATCATTTTTCTTGTCATTATCTTTTTTATCACAATTTTAACAGTATATTTGCTATTGGATTACAGATATTTTATTGATTACGTTGATTAATCCGTTCTTTTGATTGTAATTTATTTGGTTTTTTAATCGTGTGTGTAATGGATAAGGGGAGGAAGTTTATTTTAAGAATCTATTTTAATTATTCATTTCACAGTTCATTTTATTATTATTTTGTATTATCTTTATATCCAATTAATGTAATAATCGAAGACGGTCTCGTGTTTATTTTGAGATTAATTTTTGATTTATTATATATCATTTATTCGAGAATTTATTTAATAATAGAATTAACGAGCTTTAGTGTAAAGTTTTGCATAAATTAGTTCTCGGGATTATCAATGACTTCTACATTCTATAAAAATTAATTCACAGAAAATTTCTAAATATGTCATTGTTATTTAAGATTTTTCTTTATATGTCGTATTTAAATAAAAGTATATTTACAACATAACGGTAAAGTTTAATTTAAGAATAGGGCACAATGAATTTCTTCTGTATCTTTTATCGACGAAAAAGAATGACAGATATTAAATGAATATATCAATCTGTACACACACAATCAATATTTGTTAATAATTTATTTTAACTTTTATCTTATTTTATGGTAGGTAAAAATCGTCGATTATCCAAACAAACGCGGAAACAAAAGATTTCCAATAAATGGATTTGAAAATAATTGATTGAAAGAAAATAAAGATAGATGATATATAAAAGATAAAGAAACAATACTCCTTTACCATGAAAAAAAAAAAGAATAAAGTTATAAAAATTAATTATTATTGATCATATATTTTAATGTGCACAATGATAAAAAAATTTCTCATTAAAGTGTCGACTAATATTTTTCAATAATAATATATATTTATTTTTTTATAAAGATCACAAATAAAAATAATAGTCAAATTCACTTTTGTGTATTTTCTTTATCTTCCGAAAAAGAAATTTTCAAAGAAACGTAATCTTATAGCCCAAATAATCGGAATTACTCTTTAATTCTTAGTTAGTTATTATTAATTCAGGAATTCTATCATATTCTAAAGTTTTGCAAAACGTATTCACGTGGAAGTTAACGAATCGAATAGTATAGGATACTCAAATAGTAACATCAATCACAGGATATCCTGCAGGTGAAAGCATTCCCTGACCACACTTTGTCCTTTCCTCGTATCTCTTTCGTCATCGCGACGTGTCCGTCGGTCTCTTTGTATAAGAGCAGTATTTTGTTTTCACAAAGAAATCAAAAGGTGAGATAGAAAAGGAAGGGAAAAGAGAGAAAGGGAGAAGGAAAAAGAAGAGGAAAATAACGTGTCCGAACAAGAGAAGAGCTCGTTGTCGTGCAATGAAATAGCTTTAGAGATCGATTATTTCTAGTCGATTGATTCAAATCTGCTTGCTTGATTCGATTGATACGTCTGACATGATGCGATCGAATTTTCATTTAAAAAGAACAGGAGCAAATGTTTCAAAGGTATTCCTACGATGATAGCCCCGCAACGATATTTTAAACGTCACTTACAAAGTTCTCTAATAATTGATCTTTTAACAATGCCCTTTTGTCCTAACTTAACTTTGAGCAATCATATCTAACTTTTTTTTTCAAAGAAACCCAGAAAAGTTTAACTACACGGTATACTAATGAACTAGGACCAACAAAATCTAATACAAATTCTACGAATCAGAAGACCGAAGAGAACAAAATTATTTGATCTAAAGATAGAGAGAGTATCTATTATAGTTAAAATATTTGTAAAAAAGAGATCATGATATTGGTAAGAAAACTAGCGAACCGATTCGCAGATGCTGAATCTCGTGATCTCTTCGAGCGGAAGTAACCACGTCCATAAGGAAACTCTCTCTTCTGATCAGTACTTCTAAATGCCAAGATTGAAAACTTTGCGGAATGCCAATTCGGGTAGGTTTGGCCGAACAGTATTCGAATCGTCAAACTGCGTTTGCTCGATCGAGCGTAAATCTTTACAGAGATCCGATCGATTGGATCAAATCGACAATATGTTAAACAAAATAATACTTTGGCTTTATATTTATCTAGATATCTGTACTATATAAAAAAAACGGAACTACCTTTAAATTATTATTTCAAATTATTGCAAATTTTCGCGTGCAATTTGTTAATAGATAAAATAAAAATATCTGAAATAATATAATATTAATGGATTATTAAAGTATTCTTTTTGTATAAGGTGAAATTTTTGATCAAACGCAAAACATTGGACTTACAATAAAAATTTCTGTTGTAATAACGTTATATCATACCTTTTTTTTATCCAGGAGTCATACAGCTAGCTGCGTACACTAATAACTAACATAATTACTTTAGATGCACTCGTCTGCATTACTAGTCGTATTAAAAATGCACTAGTATATTATTAGCATACTCGTGTGTACTCAAACGTGAGAGGTGTTACTAATTCGAACATGAGTGGATATGTCTAGCTGGAAAAGCACTTTTTTAATGGAATACCTGAAAAGAAAGGAAACAAAATGATATATGTAAAATGACATTAGGATTTTAATTTCTTTTTTTAATTTTTGTTTTTTTTTAATTTGTATGATTAAAAATATGAAATGAACTTAATTCTCGAAGTAGAAACTTCACGTTCGTTGCAAAAAGAATTTATATTATAATTCCGCTTTTTACTTAATCTCTTTGATAATTTTTGGACTTTGATAAAAAAAAATGATTTTATGTGTATTTATATACAGCGTCAAAGAAACGAACCAACTAAAATTATAAGACGCATCTTTTCCATCATGTCCTTTCATAATTTTGCATCGTAATACTAATTATAAAAGAAGTTTTGTTAAATAAATTTTACGTCGTTAACGCGATTCAAATCCGTTCATAAATTATTTATGCAAAATAATGATTATACCCTTAAGCAAAATTATTAATAATTTGTCTATATATAAAAATATTTGATCAAATTAAATTATAATCAAATATTATAGTGATACAATAACTATATAAAAATAATACTTGTATTTAAATTATACCATATTGCGATGGTGATGATATGTTGCAATATTTTCATAACTTTTTTGGATTGTTGAAAAAGTAAAACACACACTTTTGAAATACAAACTAAAAATAATATTCAAAATATTAAAAAGATGAACAATCGCGAGATCATACTAGCGCATTCTAGCGACGTCTCAAGGAACTTACTGCAAAATTGTATAGTTATTTGTACAGAAAATACGTTCTACCTAACAAATGCAATTGCATAATATGATTTATTATTATGTAAGAAAAATAGATTTTAATGAAAATAATTTTCGAAAATTATTCATTTTTTACCATAAATAAATTTAAATCAACAACGTAATTGTCGAATCCGTGAAGTCGGCTCGAAAGAAATCATTTCAGTAGAACAAAGACTAATGCTGATTGGTCGAGATGAAAATGACGTATTTCAGGACTCCATTTAATTATTATATCTTGTATTGTAATAAATATAATAATTAATTCTAGAGATTAAAATATTCTAACTGAATGATTTTTTCTTTTAAAATATGAAATAATTGATGACAATAAAGTTAATATTTTAAAAATGAATTTTGAAGAATCGACCAATGAAATAACGTCGCTGCTACGCAATAGCAAAATGCTCCTCAATCTGAATAAAGGCATCGACTCACCCTTACGATTTTTTTACTATCTGTTTACCCTGTCAGATAGGAGTTATCAGTATATGGTTTTGTATTTGTATTTGCATTATATCTTTTGTTAGAGGAAGCAACAATGGAGAATGCAATAAAAATCATAGTAAAATGGAGCGGAAAAGAGTACGAGATCCTTGATATCTTGGAATCTGACACGGTCCTTACAATGAAAGATCGTATACACAAAGAAACAGGCGTCCGTCCAGAGCGTCAAAAATTGTTGAACCTCAAATTCAAAGGTTATGTTTTGAACTGTTTTTTCAGACCTATGAGTCTACTTAAATGACATTCAATGTTTAAAATTTATAATGTTCTATTATATATTTTTTAGTTGTATTCTTTAAATCTATAAATTTTATGTCCTTTGATTTGTATTTATTTATTTGTCAATTGTTATTCGTTTTTTGTAAAATTATTAAATAAATTCATTTAGTTTAATTGTTTGTTAATTGTTGACAAAATTAATCTCTTAATATATTTTTAAATGTTTCAACACACAAAGGTCTATAGAAACTTTGTATTTACCAGGCAAAGCAGCGCAAGATGATGACATTATAGGAAAGCTAAGATTAAAACCAGGTTTTAAATTAATGTTAATGGGTTCTCGCGAAGAGGACATAGCGGAAGTGAGTCGAGCTCCAGAAAATATGCCAGACGTAGTAAACGATCTAGACATAGAGGAAGAAGAAGTAGAAATAGAAAAAGCCGAAGTATATTTGTTTAAAATACAAAAGAGAATTGATCATTATACCATCACAGAATTGAATCCTCTTAGGGAAGGCAAGAAACTTCTTGTACTTGACATAGACTACACACTTTTCGATCATAGATCAACAGCAGAAAGCGGAGCTGAATTAATGCGCCCATATCTTCATGAATTTTTAACGTGTGCTTACAAGAATTATGATATAGTCATTTGGTCAGCAACCAGCATGAAATGGATTAACGAGAAGATGAAACTGTTAGGTGTATCGAATCATCCAAATTACAAAATAGCATTTCATCTAGATTCTCTTGCCATGATATCTGTTCACACACCAAAATATGGAGTAGTAGGTGTTAAACCCCTAGGCATTATTTGGGGAAAATATAAACAATTTTCAGCGAAGAATACAATAATGTTCGATGATATAAGAAGAAATTTCATCATGAATCCTCAATCAGGATTGCGAATAAGACCTTTCAGACATGCGCATACAACTAGGAACAAAGATAGAGAACTATTAAAACTATCTAAATATTTAGAATTAATAGCAAAGGTAGATGATTTTCAGACCTTAAATCATAGAAAATGGGAAGAATATAAAGCAAAAAAACCGCACGATAGAAGAGGAGAGAAGAGCGATGATGAATAAATATCTTCATTTATTTTCATTTATTTGTATCAGATTTTACATTTCATTGAAACCTGATGGAGAAAAAGAAGGAGAATTCACTTGTATCGAAAACCGTAAGAAAGGAAATATAAGGAGAAAAGACAGTATGCTAAATGTATGTCTTGTTAAAAGTCTGTTTAGTAAAAAATCTATGTGAGAGACCAAGCCTAATTAAATGTCATAATTGTGCTGAATTAGAATTCTTTTCTGCGTATTATGGAAAAGTTTCAGTTCGCATAAATGCATGCTTGGATTATTAAAACTATATATATTTTCACATGTTCCGATGTATAACGTGTACTTATGCATTATATATGCACTAGGTACTAAATAAATACGCGTCAAGTATTAACAAATAAAATCTTATTCAGAAAATTACAAATATTATTAATTCATTCTTCCTATTAGCTCATAATAGTAATATAATAAGTCAACAGCCTCGTTTCATTGAAAAATCTAGTTTCTGTTCAATTACTAAAGTTAAACAATGATTGATATGGTTAGTTCTTGGTTGACAGCAAGTTGACTTACAAGTAGTAAAACAGCTTCTGTGGAAAAGTGTTAAAAAATTGCTTTAAATCCGTATAAAAGAAAGAATATAATAATATAATAATTAATATATATATCATTTAAAAACAAATAAAATTGTATATATATATAATAAAGTATATACATAAATTATACACTTATCTAGAATCTTAGAAGTAAAAACAATTATAGTAAGCGTATATGTATATCGTAATTTAGTCGATTCTATAAATGACACGCGTATAAGCAAATGTTCGACAAATCTACGTTTCTATTGGTCAGTTGGAATTCTATCAATAAATTAACTAGTACGATGTAAGATCTGGAAGCGCGACTAGTATTCGATCTGTTATGAATAGAAGAAAAAAAAACTTGAATTGTCATAGAGAGAGAGAGAGAGAGTTTCGTTAAAACATGAAAATTGCGAAAGTAACATTGATGGTTAACTGATGTGGGATGAGTTAAAAAGATGGCGAGCTGTCATCAGTAGGCATATTTTTTGTCTAACAGAAGGAACGTCACAAATGCTTCGTAAAAAGTATCAGTCGTTTAAAAGACTGAAAAATGGAACTCTTTCGCACTGACACACATTTTATTTTCGTTAAGGAAAGGCACAGTTTGTGGTGCGACAAAATTACGGGCCAATTTTCTGCTAAATCTGGTAAATATTAAATAAAATATGTATACTTTTATTCCTGTCAAAATTCACACCTTTACCCCACCTAATTTTATTCTAACGAATATTAAAAATCAAATGTCCGCGTAGTAAAATAGTCAAGTATATTAATATTAAATATTCGTATTGTTTGGATAATCTTAAATTTAAAAAATCTAAGCTTATACGTTGACAATACAACGAGTCGCAAAATTTGACGTTTCTTTGTTTCTTTGTGTACACTTTAATCGATCAAAGTCATTTTTATACTTTACATGAATTATTTATGATATAAATAATATTATAATGAACGTAATCTTATAACATTTGCAATTAAGTTATTGCTATGTTAAATAATGTAAATATATTATTAAATATAAATTAATATAATGTACAAAAAATAAATTAACCCTAACTTTAGAATTAATAATTTGATCGATATAAATAATTGTATAATTATGTATATCTTATTTTATATACAGATTGGGAATGGGCATCTCCAAAAGATTTAGAATGTCTTGGAATGTTTTATGGAATAGTAGGAAAAATAGAGCAGCCATCAGTATTAGAACCACGCTTGATGCTTATAAAAGAAGTTTCAGAAGCCGGAGAATTATATGGAGGTCATATAGTACACAGAATTAAATCAATCGCTTTCTTGCATATTGGGACAGATAACACGGAGATAGGATTACTTCCATGTAAGAAACATCAACATTTACCAAAGAAAAAGGGAGTTAGCGGGTTATTTGATGTGCCACAGAAAGCTGCATTCGCTAAAACATGGGGCACTATTAAAAGTGCCACAAATACTATTAAAAATACTACTCAGCAAGCTGCCGCTCTTGCAACATCGCAGGTATAAACATAGCTGTAATAATAGAGAGAACGATTAAATAATTCTAATATATTGCATATCACATGCAATTTCTAAATTTCTTCTTTCCGTTACCAGGTCAAGTCTACGGTGAACAAACGAAGCGGAGTTAAAGATAAAGAAAAATTTGAAAAAAGAATCTTAGAAGAATTAAATAAAATATTTACAGAGACCGATTCTTTTTTTTATTGTGAAACTGGAGATATTACTAATAGTCTTCAACGATTATGCGTAGCTGAAGCAGAAGAAACTAAAAACAATCAATGTAGACCTTTGTGGCAACGAGTAGATGATAGATTTTTTTGGAATAAACATATGTTACAAGATATAATTAATTTAAAAGTTAATACAATCAACATTTTTTCATATTTTAATATAAGATGTTCTAAGTTAACTATTACTGGAAATAATATTATATTTTTAGACAGACAAAGCAGACTGCTGGATATTACCAGTTATTCAAGGATATATTCAAATAGAAAAATGTAAAGTTGAAGTAGGCTTCTATGATCAACCGCAGCATGAAATATTTAATTTAGCTATTATATCAAGGAGGAGTAGATTCCGTGCTGGCACTAGGTAATTTTTTATCATTATTATTCTGACTTTTTATCATAATAAAATTAAGAATCTAATATTGATTATAATAAAGGTATAAGAGACGTGGTGTTGACGAGGAAGGTAAATGTGCCAATTACGTTGAAACCGAGCAATTGGTTTGGTACCACGATCATCAGGTATCATTTGTACAAGTTCGAGGTAGTGTACCAGTTTATTGGTCTCAACCTGGATATAAATATAAACCACCACCACGAATAGATAAAGGTAAAGTGTGTATATTTTAAAAGTTAAGAACCGTAAAATACTTTACGAAATTATTTAGAAATTTAATAAATTTGTATATATATATATGATCATGTAATATAAAATAATAATCTTGTAATAATACTTTAGATGAAGCAGAAACACAAGTTACATTTGAAAAACATTTTGGTGAAGAACTTGATTTATATGGTCCAATATGTATTGTTAATTTAGTTGAACAAACTGGTAAAGAGAAGATTATTTGGGAGGCTTATAGCAATCATGTTCTTAAGTACAATCATCCTGATATTACGTATACAAGTTTTGATTTTCACGAATATTGGTAAGTTTAAATATTCCTAAATTCTTAAACGTGTTATATTAATTATTATATTTACATAATTTTTATTTAATACACAGCCGTGGTATGCATTTTGAAAATGTTTCTATCCTGATTAATGCACTTGATACAGTATTAACAAATATGAGTTATTGTTGGCGTGATAAAGAAGGTACAATATGCATGCAGAAAGGAATATTTCGTGTAAACTGCATCGATTGTTTAGATAGAACTAATGTCGTGCAAACAGCTATTGGCAAAGCTGTAATGGAAATGCAATTTTCAAAACTTGGCTTGATACCACCTGATGGAACTTTACCTACAAACATTAGACAAACATTCCAATTACTTTGGGCAAATAATGGTGACATTATTAGTAAACAGTATGCTGGGACAAATGCTTTAAAGGTTTCTAATTCATTCTATTAATTTACTATTGTCCACTAGAAAATGAAATTAGAATTTGCATTAATTATGTATATACTACTTAATTATATTTTTCAGGGAGATTATACGAGAACGGGAGAAAGAAAATTCACTGGATTAATGAAAGATGGCATGAATTCTGCTAATAGGTAAAGCTATGAACTTTTCATATATTTAAAACCATTCATTTTCATTTCTTTTTTTTTATCCTATCAGCTGCCGTTTCAAAATTATATCATAAATTATCTTTTGTATCCAAATTTTCAGTTTATTAGATATTATGGATTGGTGATAAGATATTTTTACCACATCAAGTACCACAGTCAAGATTGAGTTAGACATTTATAATTTCGTGCTTTGTAGATCCCTGACATCCTTTAATTTTCCAATAGATATTTTCAACAACACTTTATGGACGACTTACGCCAGGCAGCGATAGACACTTTGCTAGGAAATATAATCAACGTTGATCAACTGAATTACGATTGGTCACATTATTTAGACATCCTTGATAACTGCTGCCTTGAACTTATTCCTACGAAACCACCAAATATAGAGCTTCAACTTGCTACACATCCTGAATTTCTTTATGCCACTGCTATGTATAATTTAGCAAGGTTCGTTTTCTGTCGAAACGAAAAGTTTGTGAAAAATGTGTTTAAGAAATAATTTCATTACACTACAATTTATATTTTACATTTAATTGAATTTTATGAATAATTGTAGTTATGCTAAACATAGTTTCATCGTGGATAATGGATCTTAAACCGCATGAAAATTAGTGATTAATCTTGCATTTATAGCAAATATTAGATTTGGCAGTTATTATTAATAAATGACATATCTATCTTTAACATAAAAAAAACCTTGAAACATTTGAAATCTTTCTATTCCTATGGCAATAATTTTTATCATAAATTACGTTTGAAAGTATTATTGTAACGATTATAATTTTTTTTTTTTTTTAAATTATATTATGATTTCAGATATTATCTTAATCGCTTCAAAGATGTCTATAGGCAAGCTACAATTGATATGATGTTAGGAAATGCAATAAGCGAAGAAGTATTTCAAGAACGTACAGAAGAAGAAGATAATGCTGCTACAGCAGTTCATGTTAAATTATTAATTGAGGATTGTAAAAAATTATTGATACCTGATCCTGAAGTTATTCTTGGGAGTTGGGGACTTATTGACGCTGATCCTATGTATATATCAAATTTTTTGTTTTTTTCACAAAATTATTTATATATTTCTTTTATTAACATTATATTTGCTTTATCGATTATTTTTAGAACTGGGGATCCTACTGAAACCGAAATGGATACTATTCTTATATTAACTCGAGATAGTTATTATGTAGCAGATTATGACGACCAAATTGATAAAGTTACAAACTACCAAAGAGTTCCACTTTCTGATGTAATCCTTATTGAATTTGGCCAACCAGAAAGTACAGTTTCTATTTTTAAAAATAAACATTATCATTGTATTAGAATTAGCTATAAGATGGGTACGGAGTATGGTTACTTTCATATGTTCCGCAGTACAAACTTAAGATTTTTTAACAACATGGCTGTTGTAATAAAAACTGTTGAAGAAAGCATAGGTAAAATACTTCATATTTTAATATATTTTTTAATAACAAAATAATATAATAATTTATTGAAAATAAACAAATATTGCTATTATAGAATCCTTAAAAGCAATTTGTGAAGCTATGTCAGTAGCTATGCAAATAGCTGGCTTACCAGAAATACCCATTGCGATGAATGTAACATTGGATAAACGAAAGAGCAAATTAGTTAATGTTAAAGGTTCTACAGGACTATTAGATATTTCCTCTTTTCCTGAATTGACCAGAAATGTATCTGAAACACAACTATTAGCTCTCAAAAGTGCAGGTTTGTTTCTATTATTAATACAAATAATTATCTAATCAAATAAATTCATCAATTATTATATTTTGCAGGTACAAAAGCACTGAGTAATATGTCGGAACAATTCAGTAAACTTAATAAATTAGGCCATAGCTTTAGCACAAAGAAACCAATCGATTTAGCCAAAAGTATAAGATCAAGAAAATCAATAACATCTTTAAAACCAACTTTTACTGTTGGTAATAGAGACATTTCTGGAAATGTTAACAAGAAACGTGGCGATACTAGTAGCAGTAGCGATGAAGATGAAAATATTCAAATGACTCGTATTCGTACTGAACAAACAAAGAACTATTCTCATGACAAAAAATTAATGGAAGCTTATAGTCCGTCAATTGGAATCATAATGGGCGTTAAAGATACTGATATAGTAAATGATAGTGATTCTGATAATTATTTAGTTCAGGCAAATATAGATGAGGATAATATATTATCTTCTGATATTAAAAAATCTGATTTTTATCTAATGCCACAAAGTGAATCTGGTAGTTCTTTTAGTGCTTCACCACAAAAAACTACAGCAACGACACCAGAAATAACTATTCAAAATGTAGCGGATATTTTAACCGAAGAGAAAGACAGATTAATGCATCCGACCTCATTAAGCCTTTCAAAAAATATAAGTCAATCAACAGGAAAAGTAGACAGCAAAGCACATTCAAGTAACTTAAAGAATAATACTTTGTTAATAATTCATAAGTTACAAGATAAACAGAGATCAACATCTGAACAAGATCTAACATTAAATATTACTTCCTCGCAAAGCGAATCGGCCCTGAAATCGATAAAAAGTAGCATTACAGATGTCACAAGTCCAGTTGCAGCTACTGCCAAAGATATCTTATCACCTTTTTCGAAATTTGCTAAAGGTGTACAAACACTTGGAGCTAATTTAGACCCGAGGAAATTAAAATCAGGACAAGTAGGATTAGCGAGAAATTTATCGGATCATCATCTTGAAGAGCGTCAAAAACTTCAAGAAAAATGGGGTTCTTGCAAATCTACGCTGATCGCTTTATAAATTGTTACAGCATAACTGTGAGTACATTACATTCAGCAATATGATAATGATGATTGTGTAAATATAGTAATTGGAAAAGAAATCCAAATGGAATACCAATTAAAAAATTCTATTATTTTATTTTACCATCATGTTGCTAAAGCAATTATTAAGAAAACAGTTTAAAAAGAAAAAAGTATATTTTTTACTTTTATGAAAAATTGCCCTACCAAAATTATGTGGTCAATATTTTATACATGACAAAAATATTTGAGTTTATCATATTATAGAAATCGTTATTACTTCTCCAAAAAATAATTATGAGATTTTTATGTTTTATTAGCTCGAGTTTTATGCGAAATTGAATACTCAAATGTGTAATGCTTTTGGCATATTTATACAGAATTTATACTCAAGATAAAAATTTACTGATATGAGATTACTATTAATACTGTGTTCAATCTTGCAACGTTTAATTAGACTGTGAGACAAAAATATGTATTATCTGAATAGGTACACAGTAGAATTTTAATTATTCGGTGATTATTTTAGAAATTATTTTAATACTTAGTGTCAGTAATGAAAATTTCAAGTATCATTATATTTATAATTAATGATAAATTATATTTAACAAAATTTTCCATCGAGACATTTAGTTACATTGTCTTATTGTTAGATAATATTCTTATTTGGACTAAATACGAATAGTCGAAATTCTACTGTATTTGAAAAGTGAGATTTTTAAATAAGATTTTCTTTTTCTAATTCAGCTTCTTGCTGCATAATGAAATTTTTCCACAAATTAAAGCACTGTTGCCTTTCTCGTTGATATTAATAGTTGTATTTATTGGTAAAATGTTTTATTAATAAACGTTTGTAAGTGCACATTAGGGGAAAAAAGTTTTTTTATACAGCAAGTTGGACAAAGAAGCTTTTTAGTCAATTATGTAAATATAGACAAAAATGATATAAATGTAGTATAGTAAAATTGCGAAATATTAATACAAAATATGACACACAGTAGTATTAATTTTAATGATATTAGTAATAATAATATTTAATATATATAATTGATGAAGCAGCGCATAGCGTTATATGTGAGTTATTTAAATCACCGAAATATTTATTAATCATTTTGAATATTGATATATTCGTGACTAATTAAATATTATTTTGAAAAAATTATATGAATCTGTATTAAGTTTTATTTTCGGTATATTCGAAGTAACTCAATTATAAAGTACAGCAATATAAAGATCTAATTAAATTGACATAGGTAAATAGTGTGATTAAATATAAACACAAATGATTTAAAAAGATGCATAAAAGATGCATATGCTTTTCAATGTAATTGAAAATGAATATATTTTCCTCCCATAGAAACTATAGTATTGATTTAGTATTGCTGCTGTATTGCAGACAACATGACTTACAACAAAAAACTCGATAATCTATAAATACATTATATAATAAAGACAAGCATTGATCATAGTAAAATAGAGCAAATACTACTTATCGTTAGTATTTTATTTAAAGAGAAAATTATATCGTTATAAGTTTGTAATCATTATAATCAGTATAATTTAACGCGATTAATTATGTTATTTGTAAATATTATAGAGGGATTATTAAATAGTTCTTATAAATTGTTCACGAAAGAAATATTTAAAAAATATATATAAATATACGTTGCCCTTATAAACCACACTTGTTTAAGTCACGAACAATAGCCTGTGATACATTTTTGCAGATTAAATATAGTTTGTAAAGAAAATTGTAAATCTTGTAGATCACATAGAGGATTTTTTAGAATAGAGTATTGTGACAACTGTTTTTTAAATACCTTAGCGTATACAAAAAAATTATAATTGTATAAATAAAATACCAGAACCTTGATCCATTCCAAATACAATTTACCTTTATTGGCTAAACTTACGAATTGTATCTCTTCGATTATCAAATATGGTAATCCAATCAGCTTTATATATGTGGATGCAATGTAAAATCCAGTTCAAATTCAATCGTAATGTGTGTTATAAATATAGTAGCCAATAGAGGCTTTGCCTTATATATATAAATATATATTCAAGAAACATGTTCTCGAAAGATCACAACAATAAAAATAAAACACGTATATGCCAAATAATGCAAAGTGACACTTGTAGATGATGGAACAATAAAAAGCATCGTCAATATATCCTATCTATTCATTATATAATTCTCTCCTTACGATGTTAAATAATATAGAAGATGTTTAATTATCAAGCTGACACAATAAAGCAAGACCTCTTTTAATCCAATGACTGACAGCCTTATTGGTGTCGAGAAGTATAGATAATACATAATTAGTAGAATGACCTGTGGTTTTTAGCACTCCAAACCGAGCAGACGTTATGTATAAGGGACATTCGTATCGTCCTCTAATAATTATATTAATCATTTCAGATGGTTTGAACCATATTATTGGCATAGATTCCCAAAGTATTTTTGGAAAACTTTCAGCAAGTAACATATTTTTCATATCCCACCTTGCACCAGCTAAATACATACCGTAAACATATACTCCGTCTATTGGAGATTCATCTAATTTGTATGATGGTATTACCTAAAAAATAAATATTATATAATAAATTTAATAACATTATGACAAATTTAAAAACGAAAACATTACTTGAAAATCAAAATTGATTTTATCAATCGGTATTTTATATTTCCTCGCGAAATTTTGTGCCGCAGCCGTTAAGAATGCATGAACGAATGAAAATCCGGATATCCAGAAAGTCTTTGGTTTTCCTTCTATTAACCATGTTTTAAAAAAATCTAAACGTTTTAAAAAATCGTCGATAAAACTGGACAATGGTTTTAATGTTGGATAAGCACTTGCTCTAATCCAGGAAGGTGGAACTTTATCATTAATTATATGTGCGCCTAAAATCTATAAAAACGAAAAATATTTTTAATATGTCACCGTTGGATAATTAAATAATAGGAAGAAACTTCTATGGAATGATAATATACCTCCAAAGCTGCGGTCATCACTATAAGACCTTTTATAGCTCTTTCTAACATTACCAATGAATTTCTCATTTCAGCTAAAAGTATATTGTATCTTTCCATTTCTTGTATTAATACGGTGTTCATAGATTCCATATACATCGTTGGATATAATTTTTGAGCTTCTTCTATGTCAAACAGATCTGGTAATTTACTATAAATATTTTCTTTCATAAGCAACAATAATTCATCCTGTTTCATAATGTCACCAACAGTGACGGTTCCTTGAATTAACATCATAGAATCGAAAAAATTTTTGGAACTTTCAAGATCGCGAGTTATTCCTGCATTCATGTGCAATCCGAACACTTCCGGCGGTGTAATAACAGGAATTCCTTCTATTTGTTCAATATAATCTTTATATTCGTGTCTAAAACAATTGTTTATACATACAAATAGTATTTAAACATCACGGGGTACTGTTATCTTATACATTTAATTACTTTTTAGGTAACATGTATTCTGGACCAATATCAGCGAATGAATAATTGATATTTGTGATTACATCAGGATTGTAAAAGTCATCTAAAATAGTATTTAAACATCTACGATCTCTCTCATCTGTAACTCTTCCGCCGTAGTTGCATTCACCCGTAAGATAAATGATTGCTTTAAATGGAACCTGTTCGTAATCGTCGATATAAAATTGAAGCTGCTGCACCGATATTTGTAGATCAGAATCATCGAAGCCTGTAAATAAAATCACGATTAAACTTTTTCGATATCAATAATAAAATATTTTCAATGTGTACCGTATTTAATATTCCATCCTTGAGGTCCATAATTTCTACGTTCTTGAATGAGTGCATGAAAGAAGCATAAAGCGTATAACAATTTTGAGTAATTTCTTTTCTTTTGAGGTGACGTATAGAAAAAATCTGGTTCTTTGGCAGCTTCGGATAAATAACATCTAAAAATTAGAAATAAATAAATGATTAACTTGATTTTTTTGTTCATTTTTAGAGATCATAACTAACTTCATAATATTTTGTTGAAGACCAGTCGGTGGTTCATTCGTCATTTTTAAACCATTTTGTAAAACTGTTATGGGAAACTTATCGGAAGGATAACTTGTCAACCAAAGACGAAATTTAGTATGAGTATTTGTCAGATTGAAACTCTCACAAATTTTGTCAAGCATAGGCATCCAAGATACAGCTAAGTGACAGTTTTGTAAGCAGACCCATAAACCTTCGCGTTGAGCTTCGGTAATTAATTTTTGTGCTATTGGACCCTGTCCTTGACCCAATGAGATAGTAGAAAATTTCGATAGATAATCCATACTATCAGCAAAATTGGTCAAGGCTCCCATCGGATCGGAACCAGGTGATAGAATAAAAATTAGTGGAACTGTATAAGTTGAATCCATATAAGATTTGGAAATATCAAATGGTGGTGGAGTTACAAATTTAATTCCCAATCCATCCTTAACGAATTCCCGTATCTGATGAGAAAGAATTTTAATTATCATTAATATGCATGATATTATTGTTAAAAAAGAGCAATCATTTTAAATATAAATATAAATATATAAATACTGCAATAATAATTTTATCAGGTCTGATCATTCTCATAACAATCAATTTTTGAAAATAAGTCAATGCGTTTTCCCATGGTTCTGGTAAAGATTCTCTTTCAGGATTTAATAAATCGTAATATATTTTCCATTCGGTTAAATTCTTGATAAAACTTTGTGAAAAATCTCCGAAACTTGGCAAAGTATCTATTCTATCGATTTCAGCCCAAGATTTATCTGGAAGCCAATCTGGTGCTGGATTCTGTGTTACTTTCTTCAATGCCATACCACCAGATAAGAAAAATAGAAACTCATCTTTATCTATTTGATTACTTGCTAGTAGAATCGTTGAATACAATACAAACGAATATAATATCTGACAAAAATAATCGAACGTAATTATGATATACGTGTTTATGTATTTTAAAAAGAATACAACTACATTTATATTAACCTTATCCTTCTCGAATAATGATCTACAAACATTTTGATATAAATGATAGGTGAATGTATTTTTTAAAAATCCAAGTCTACGTTCTAAGATTTTACTTTTGTTTGCCAAATCGATAGAGACAACGTAAAGATTGATAAACCATTGCAATGAAAACTCGTACATAGGATCTATGTTTGGTAAATCTGTAATGGTATAATAAAGAGCTGAGCTATATTTCGCGATAGGTTGATAACTTTGACGAAAAACTTCGATAGTTTTTTCCGTCTTTTTCGCGGCATCCTGTTTCTTAAGTATATCAATCGAAAGAATTTTAGACGAGTCCAAAATTTCGATCGCTTCTTCGTCTTCCAAAATACCACCGCCAGCTACCGATAATGTTTTAAGAATATTATCCTCGACCTGTTTCAAAGCTCTCTTATTCGCGGCACTTTCGATTATCAAGTATTCTCGTTTTTCTTGCAAATCCGGTCTCTCTTTCGCTACAACAATTTCTAATAATTGATCTTCCAATCCCTCGATCGTCAAAGCAAAATTAATCAAAGTGATTTTATTAAAAACGTCTGGAAGATAATGCGGATTTCGTAATTTCGTAGTGATGTATAATCTAAAACGTAAATCATATTCAATGGCAGTTTCTCCTAAAGTAATATGCCATATTCCTGCGATGTTATAAATGTTTTTCATAAGAATCGGATCAAGAGGTGCTGGGAGATCTTCTAAAATATTTTCTATTAAAACTGGCTTTCCTAAAAAGACATAATACTATTTTTAAAATATATCGATATAAATGAAAACAATTTAAACAGAAAAACTCTACCATATTCAATAGCTTGCTCAATGATATTCATATAATTTTTATCCGTTACTTTGATGATCTCCAATTCGCTCTGTTTTTCCATATGACGAATCCACTTGTTTGCTTGACTCTGTGGATCTATGAATAAACTCCATCTTTTAGAATTATCCATGATGATCGCATTTTCTATAGAAAATGGATCTCGCGGTAAACCGAATATATTCCACGAATTAATTTTTATCTCGGTTCCTAATATTTCCACGAAATTGTATCCAAGCGAGCAGGGTATGTTCAAGTTTTGTACAAATATTTTCCACTTATCTATATTCTCCGTTCGATAACTAGCCGTGAACGGGCCGAGATAAGCGATAACTCCGCAGGAAATTAAAATATCTCCTGGAAGAGTGTCGTAAGATGTTTTCAAATTAGCAGCTGCAGCTAACCAACGATCTTTTTCCCCTCCTAAACCATCGATCAGTTTTTCGGCACGGACGAGTTTGTTTCTACAATTGGTAACCTGACGGATGAAATAATCATCGTGAATTATCGTATTAATAATGTTAACGTTAATTAATTACTTCGTTTTCCAATTCAAGCTTCTTTGTGAGCGTAGTTTGCAATCTTTCGTTTAGATAAGCAAGTTTTTCGGTCAAATCTGCAAGCATTTGACGTCTTTCGTTCAAGAACGCCATGGTCTTTTCGTATTCTGTTTGTGCAGCTGCCAATTTGGCTTTTTTCGGTGCAACTTCTTTGATTACTTCGTCATACAATACCATCGCACGAACCCATTTGCAAAGACCCTCAGCAGCCGATGATGCTCTGGCTACAATTCTTGGCTCGAAATTTTTATCCGTCATGTATGTCTTCTTAATTTCCTGTATTAACACAAAAACTGTAGTTTCAATTTTCAACTTTTTTTTTATACTATGTCTTGATATCTTACATCCATTATATGAGTTGAAATATTGTCTTTGTCATATTGACGTAAAGTATCGAGAAACCTCATATCACCTAAGAAACGTTTACTTGGTATCCAATAATCTAAAATCCTACGGCCGGTAATTGGATCATCGATTTTAACTGGAGGTATTCCCATCATAACGCACACTGCAGCCATTACTAATTTCACTCCTTCTGGAGGACTTTTCATCGTCTTTACAACCGAGATATCAGCAGGTTTAAGAGTATTTAATGCAGCTGCATTTCATAGAACATATATATCATCATTAGTCAGTGCAAATGATTGTTATAATGAACGATGATGATGATTAAACTATGAAATGAAAATATTATAACCTATTGCTTCGTCCAAAGCAGGAAGGGCTTGAGCCAAATCAGCCTCACATTCCAACTTTAAGTTTTCTGCAATTTTGGCTTGAACA